GATGATGCTCCTCATTTCTATTCCCAAAGATATGTTCCAAAGCCACAAAAAGGAGTATAGGCCAGGTTCCCCAACAGTCCTGGTCAGTACTACTACGTGTAGCTTTTTACTAAAGCAGTTCATGCAGTAGACTCAACCGTTGGACAAGAGGAAGATGAAGACGCCCTCCAGATGAAATTGGCACATGTCCTTGTACTCTCTTTGTGAGATGCCTTGGGCCCTTTCCCCACCTCTAGTTTAGGATTCGGTTTACCTTCAGCCAAGAGAGAGAGAAAGAGAGAGAGAGAGAGAGAGAGCGAGAGAGGGGATCAGCTCCTAGAATGTGTCTATTATCCTGCCGCACCAATCAAACTGTTGTGTCAGTGCGTTACCATTGTATGGTCCTGGGTCCATTTGCCACTGACTGTGGCTGCCATATTGATGACTAAGTTAGTTTGGGCTCTGAGGACAATGGTGCTCTGGAGCCTCCACAAAGCGCGAGGCTAATGCCCCCCTTTCAGCCGGCCCGCTCAGCTGCTGAGTGTGCAAGGCTGCTGGGCAAATGGAGTGGCGCAGGTCCAGGGGGCCCGGCCCTATAAAAACACAGGCCAGGGTCTCTCCCCCGACATTGATTAAACTGGATCTGTCCCACCTCAGTACTGTCTGTAAGTATACCAACACACTGGCTCAGACTCAGCTAAGAAACTGCAATCAGGGGACAGCTATGTGTACTGGGGCAGAGCCCGACAGCCACCAAGATGCTGCTCAAATTGTTAGATAGACAGCCATGCAATTTGATTGAGACTTGATTTGCTAAGAAGTAAAAACACGGTAGCTAAGTATGGTTAGCAACTCCTGATAGAAGTGATCAGTTCTGCAGAAGAACTGCAAATGGTACTGGAGACAGCATGCACGCTTTTTAGCTGTCTCTTACATATATGTGTTTTGCTGTTGCGGTATTTACTTCATGTAACAGCAGTTGTACAATTTAAGGAGAGGAGACATGTCTGTAGTTCTAGATTGAATCTTTTCAATGGAAACAGACACAAATCTGTCTTACGGAGAAATGGAAAAAATGATGAATGACAGGAATTGTTCCCTTCTTGTGACACCTTTGGGAGATATTTATTTCCAGAGTGAAGGTGCAATAATATGCTTTAAATAGAAAGGCTCTGTTGTTGTTTTGTTATGTAGAAACCGTTTCTTTACATCTAGCTAAAATACAAAGATTGTTGTTTGAGTTGATTTCGATCATCTGTCTCAAAAAAACAATGCAAATCCAAACATTTACAGTTACTCATTCACTCTTTTTTCAGTCTTGCTGACAGTATCACTACTCAGGACGTGCAGGTTTTCTTGTGATTTTGATTTGATTTTCCATCTATTAACACTGACTGTGTGTTTTTTAAACCCTCCACCTTTGTCAGAGAGCAACCCCTAAGGGAGAAGCAGCAGCCATGAACACTCAACAGATGGAGCAGATGGGCCAGTTTAAGGTAACAGTCTGGGAGGAGGAGAACTTCCAGGGAAAGCGTTGTGAGTTCATGCTGGAGTGCCAGAACATCATGGAGAGGGGCTTCAACAAGATCCGCTCAATCAAGGTTGAGAATGGACCGTAAGTCAACATTGTTGGTGCTCTTTTCCTTCTGCCCTCTCCATCTATCTAGTTTTGTATTGCCCTTACATCATAGAAATCACTTCTCTTTCACCTCTTGACCTCTTCTGTTGTTTACATTTTTATGCTTGAACATAATTAAGTTCTAACGTCTTTATGATAAGGTTTAATTTGAGTCAATGATTTGCTAGAATCTGGTTGAAATTGTACCTAACAGAATACATAGTATCTGCGTAATAATGAGAGTGAGTTTAATTTCCACAGTATGTTGGTCTGTAGTGTTTATTAAACACTCGTTGCTGCTTAAAAATTGCATTTTCCCCAACCATAATAATCACTAATAGAATCCCATTATTTGCTTCTCTTGCAATTCTAATTTACTTGGCATGTATCATTTGCACGTGTGTGTGTGTGTGTGTGTGTGTGTGTGCATGCATCCAAGTGTATCCCTGATATGAGTTGGATGTGTGCAGCTGCCGGCTATGAGCCAGAATGGCTGACTGACTGACTGGCGATCAGATAAAAAGCCCTGGGTGCAGCAGCAACAGCAGCAGCAGCAGTATTTCATGTTTGCTTTGTGCTCCCTTTGACAAAAGAAGCTGCATGTTGTTTTCACTCCGGGCCGTTCGGTGGGCGTTGGACTCTGTTGTTTAACAAAGAGGACAGTTCCATTGTCGTTGCACTAAAACGACTTTTACATTTAGTGGTTCATTATTGTTTTTATTTTAGAATTCTAGATATTTTACATATGGTCTGCTCATTTAACCTCAACATTTCAATCCTCCTTTCTTTCATCCCTCTTTCTCTGTCCCCCCTCATGTCTCTCGCCCTCATCTTTCCACTCCAGTTGGGTGGGTTATGAGTACCCAGAGTTCCAGGGACAGCAGTTTATCCTGGAGAAGGGAGACTACCCTCGCTACGAGGCCTGGAGTGGAAACAGCAGCTACAGAACCGAGCACATGCTTTCCTTCAGACCCATCAAGTGCGCTGTAAGTTACCACATCCTTCCACTCATCCTGGTTTTTGTCTTTCTCATAGTCAGACTGGTCAAGTGGCTGACATCCTCTCTCCGTCTCTTTCTCTGCAGAACCACAGTGACAGCAAGGTGACCCTGTACGAGTGTGAGGACTTCCAGGGCCGTAAGTTTGAGATGTGCGATGACTACCCCTCCCTACAGGCCATGGGCTGGTGCAGCAAGGAGGTGCCCTCTATCAAAGTCAACTCAGGAGCGTAAGTTACACGTCTTCCTCGCTTTACTGGCATCTGTCTCTTTCTCCTGTTCCTCCCCTTTTGCAGAATCCCTGCTCATAACTTTCGTAAAAGTCCCTCTCTCCCTCTCTCTCTCTCCCTCTCTCTCTCTCTCTCTCTCTCTCTATCTCTCTCTCTCTCTGCAGCTGGGTGGCCTACCAGTTCCCTGGTTACCGTGGCTACCAGTACATCCTGGAGAGAGACAGGCACCAAGGCGAGTACAGAAACTACAACGAGTACAGCACCCAGGCTCACACCAACCAGGTGCAGTCCATTCGTAGGATCCAGCACTAAGCCTTCTTCCTGCCTGCCTGACCCAACCTGAACAAAATAAAAAAAACTCTCCCCGAACCCCGTTCCTCAACTTGAAACCCCGGACAGACCGCTGTCACAGAACAGTAGACGGACAAACTCTTTCTATCACTCTGGCTCTGCATGTATGGATATCTAAGTACTACTTCTTCTACCATGCTAAAGCATGTTCTTGAAATAGGAAATAAAGGCTTTTCTTCAAAACTAGAGGCTGTTTTGTCGGTATTCCTTTTTCTTTTTACATTCTTTTTACAATCACCAAAACTAAATAAATCAACATCTGATTGGCTACATTGAGCGGTCGATCATTTCGCACCTTGGCTATGGCAGCACAGGTGCACAAGCAATGCAAAATCAGAGCCCCTTATTCTCTTTTAGCTTCATAGAGCAGGCTGTTACCAGAGATAGTTTTTGCTTTGTATTTAATTAAAGGACACATTTAGCCTTTTAGTGAACATGGAAAGATTTGATTCAAATCTCTCTGTTAAGCCTTAAGGTGTGTAACATTGTTCTTGTCAGACTGTATTCTTATTTCGAATAAACAAGAGCATCATATCACATTTGTTTCTATCATTTGTTCTCTACTGTTACAATCACAATTTACCAGTAAAGGGAGGAGTTGTAAGAAAAAGATTGATTGGTTGGCCAACTTGTCTGTCTGATAGCCAGTGCACTCAACTAACACGTGTACATTTAGGTAAAACATTTAATGTGAATCATATTTTAAAAATAGAATGAATTCAGATTCAAGTTCTCTTGATCTCGCTGCCTTTATTCGATACAGCAAAAGTACTGTGTACCAGACACAGAGGTATAATAGTATTACCGTAAATACTTCAATGGGCTGACGAAGCAATTCAGCTGATGCCAGCAGAGGTCCTCTGAGAGACTAATGCTGTGCATGTAATGTCATTGATGAAAAGTATTTTTATAACCCTGGACCTGTTTGAATGTTTTTAGCCTATCAGACGACTGTTTTTCCCCTCAGAGCAACTGTAAAGGCATGTTACGTCAAATAAAGACGCTAACAAAAAAAGTTTAAAAGCCGTGCAACATGAACCACTAATTTGACTCGGTCATATTCATGAAACCCATTAACTTATACTCCCACTCCTTACACAGTATATGTTTCACTGCTACTGTTGTAGCCAGCCTGTGAAAAACCCATAGATTATTTATTTACTCACAAAGATATAAGGTATGATTTAAACCCATTAAGTTTAGCTGAAAAAATCACCAAATTTGAAGGTAAATTGTTTTAATGACAGATTTAAAATACACTACTTTCCCATACTACATTGATTGATTTAACCTAAGTGAAAACCACTATTTCTAGCCTCTAATGTTTCCCTAATTACATCTTTACATATCACAAAGGTGCTGATGTAGATGTGTGAGGATTTTAAAGCTGCAACTACTGAAACCCTGAGGCCCTCAGTGTTCTAAACATTGTAAACACCATAAAGATCATAGAATTTTTACACTAAAGTAAACTCTTGATCATACATTTTGATGATTTACAGTATCTCCCCATACCTTTGCACACAACTGACTATTAAAAGTCTACTAGCTTAGCATTTGTTTGCTTATTGTAATGTGGCACCATTATGTTTATCTTACGGTCACATCACGTCACAGGGATCCTGGAGTGTGTTTACCTCCACACACACGCCTCCTGTTGGTCCAGGACGTGGTATTCCGTGTCACACGCCAACAAGCATGCTCACTGTCCCACGCCCAAAAAAACAGGATCTTTTGATAAATGTGTAACCATGCACACACACACCTTTCTCAAACATACATTCCTCTGCAGACAGATTAAAGCAGCTCTCACTGGGGGTTTATAGAGGAGTGACACTTGAGCAGTGCAGTAAGCTGCAAACTCTGCTACTTTGGCCACACTGTTCACAGCACCAAGGTAAGTGTGAGGCTTTACAGGGGACGTTTGCATTGATTCTTGATGGCAGCTATCATTTCACGAGGGTGTTGGGATTGATTTCTTTGCTAGAAATGAATTACATTGTTTTTTAAATTTTAAGAATGTGTTAAACAGGGGAAATTATGCTATTTAGCCTGAATGTCTATCTTTGTCAAAATGTATTTACATTTATGCAAGATTACGATGCTTTCAGTTAATACATGCTTCAGTTTTACTTGTATACTATCTACCATCAGATGCTGACTTAATTCTTTATTTTACTTACATTGTAAACTCTATATAGCCTGGATCAATTAGTAGCAACACATTGATATGTTACAGAAACAGAACAAATGAATGCCTTTCTGATGTTTCTATGATATTTGTTTTCTTCTTTCTATCAGTGGATTTCTTGCTTTCTGCACTATTGACCATCCACTGCATCAGTACAGTCTAGCTTTCGAGGCTTGTTTTAAGTTGCCTGCGACTCATACTTGCACACAGGCAGCTAAAGCAAGTCTGGGACGCCAGTGACACACCTACTAAGCCCAGGGCTGAGGAACTGCTGCCATGTGAAGAATGGAAAATACATCTTTTCATCCAGGAGAAAGGGACATGGGGGAACATTTGCTAATTTATTCTCCATTGATCAGTTGCACGAGATTTCCTCCTCTTTGTCTGTGAGGAAAAATCTCGAAATCATACAAATCATTTGTAAACTAATGGGACTATCAAAGGCCTTCGTAGTCTGATGCAATCTGTTTTTACAAAGCCTGATTATGTGACAAGGGACTTAGATGTACAAACTTGCAAGCTATAAAAAATAACAAAATAACCTATCATACAATATACACTGCATAGCCTGCAGTACCTACATTACCTGTGTTTACATATGGGCTTTACTGAGCTCAGTCAGGTGACACATCAGTAAATCATGAAATAGATTATGAATGATTATCACACAGTTTAAGTCAACACACAGGGCCAGATATGCAAAGAGGGATTTGAATTAATAGTTTTCTATTGGACACATGTATTGTACTTTAATTTCAATGTATCATTTCTAGTTTATACAAATAAAAAAAATGTTTTTGAGTTCTTCCGGTTAAAATATTTTGTACTTGACAGAAGTCTCTTTTGAAACTTGAAACAATGATTTCTTTCCAGGGGAGGGCTATGAGGAGTCATGTAATCTGGCACAAATGATAATGAATTGTGTTTTAGTTGCACTGATCAGCCTGCGTCTCTTCATGTCATGACACATAAAAATTGCATTTTGACCAGACAAACCAGATGCCAAACCACCACGGCAGAGATGCACTTGTGTTCATGTCAATGTCTGAGTGTTAACATAATTCTCTTTCACCCTTTTCGCCTTGATTCAATCACTCTCATTGAAGGAATAGACAAGAATACATGGAGAGAGAATGAGTTGTGCAACAAAAGTCCCAGAATCAAACAAAGGATGTTGCATTTACGTGGAACGCATCTTAAAACACTAATCCTTTCATTCATGGTCAAACCATCATGCCAGGGTTTGTTGTCATGCTAATAAATTACATGAATTTCCTCTTTAAATTTATACTTGTTGCTTTTAAACACCCCGTGCTTCAGGGCAGAGAAATACACTGCAGATTATAACAATATAGTCCTGGATTGATTACATTAAACACTATTAGAGAGACTGAGTGTTGAAAGATTATGATTTATAAGTGAAATAAATCAATTTCTAACGATTATTCAAATGCCATGAAACATAATTTGCACCTAAATATTTGTGAATTAATTAAAAAGACCACAGTTTTAATGATAAGACTAATAACAAAGGGTGTGTACTATACTCAGGCAGGGTAATAGAGCCCACACAGCTTCATACAGTCCACTGCCTCTGAAAAACACCAGAATTAGAAAAATAATGATAACGTCAGTGAGCATCAGAAGCCATGGTTTTAAAGTTACAACCCTCCGATTGAGGCTATATAACCTTAAACCCACAAACAGAAGGTCAGGGGGGGATGAAATGTCCTTGCTTTCTCGTGTGCACTGAAGCGTCCCTTTCAAGGTAAATATTCTTTTCCCAACATGAAATAGGTCTTTGTTGTTTGCCGAGAGGTAAAGAGGCGGAAAAGTGAGGAGGATCTGAACTGGTTTCCATGTCAAACACTTCAATTCACCATAGAAACTCAGATCTTAACGCGGAAACTTTATTAAACTGTGATGGCGGATTGATAAGGGCCCAATTTCTATCGGCCTCTTTTTATTGTGGGCAGCAGGCGGACTGACAGAGGTAAATTGCTCTTTTAATTAAAGCAATGCACCAGGGGAAATTGCTGTCTGAATATTGTCTCAGAGATGGGGGCCAGTGACAGTTGCCTGGAAACTTCAATCTGTCCACCCGCATTTATTCCAGATCACAGTTATGAGATAAAGTTTAATAAAAATCTTTTCCTCCGCCACCAACGAAATGAAATCCAACCCATTCTGAACCACCGAACACAATGAGACAGGACTACGGAGGAAACCTCATGTTCAACATGTATCTCTCAGGTTCGTCATTTTGTCCGGTAAAGGATTATAGAAACAGGCGGTCATGATTCTTTAAATTCTGCCGGGTGTCGGCGTCCCGAGGCGACGATGCTCCGTGTGCAGGGCAGAGCATTGTTCAGCCTTTTCAATCTGAAAGCCCGTCTGCTCTTTTGTCGGAAATCGGAAATCCTTTTTCCTGGACGCGTTTCCTGGCTTCTCGGAGAGGAGACCGCATGGGACGACGTGACTCTTGCATTAGACTGCGACTGGTTGAGGATACAATTAGGGTTTGAATCAATTTGAACCATTTGTAGAGATTTGGCCATTTTTAACATTTCAACATTTTAACACAGTTCAGTTAGTCATCGCACGCACAGGTCTGGTCAAATGTACAGCGTCTTTTAACAATTTGATATCAGCAGTTATATAGTTAAATACTTTCTCACTGAAAACAGGTGAAAGCTATATCCGTCTCTGAGGTTTATTTGATTTGATTAATCTTTTTCATCTGTTTTTCATCTGTTTCATTGATCCAACTTTGTCTTGCTTAAATTCATTTCTCCAAAATAGAAAGAGTGAAGTTGTTGTCTTGATCCAGCAAAGCAAGATTATAATACAAGAGTATTTTGAATGGCTTCCTGAAGAAAATGATAGACTATTAAAATCATAGATATTAATCAGGACAGGATGGATAGACAGCTGATGATGCTGACAATGACTCTGTTTTGATTTCAGATCCGACGGAAAATCTGTTGAAGGAAAGCAAAGGAACAGCCTGGGGTCCACTAAACACAGGAGTACAGAAAGGTAAGAGAATGAACTGCCTGGACACGTAATCCATATTTTTATTATCACCATGTAGGGCACAGTTATTTAATATTAATTGTCTTTTTATGATATAAAATACGTCTTCCAATAAGCTACTTTAAAACAATATCTGAAATTATTCAGTATTAAATAATAATTCTAGAAATAAAAATTGCTATTTTATTATTAACCATGGAAGAAACGCCTCTGAAGCTAACTGATTTGGGAAGAATAATGAAATCAAATTCAAAGGAATTATTTCAGGAATCACTTAAGCTTACCACATTAATAGTAAAAATGCCCCACATATTATAGCATGATTAAAATGAGTTTAAAGGTTAATTTAATTTAACTTGTGTTTGTGTTGGGGGGTCTAATTGATTTGTGATCGATATAAAAACACATCTTACTTTCTGCATGGTCTCAGTTTGCAGCTGTTTGTTGGTCACAGATAACGATTTCTTTTCAATTACGGACGCCATCCTTCTTGCCCCATAACGGGCTTTGCACCCCAAAATTATTTTTATCTCAAAATGTGTCTCATCCATCCTTAGGCTCAGAACTGTTATGTAAAAAATAAATTTTGAATCAGGAACATAAATACAAGATAGAATACGAATTTAAAAAAACCCGCCAGAATCCGTCTGCCGTTCGTCCACAGCTCATTGTCACTCTTTTAATTATACTGTTACAGAGTAAAAATAGACTTAAATGGCTATTAACACATAAATAAAATGGTTTCTGACGTTTTTAAATAAAAAACTAATCAAATTATTATGAGACATATTTGACTATTTGTATATTTTAAAACACTAACACCTGGGAGAACCTACATTGTTTTTTTTAATTATTAGTTAATACATTCAATGTTGTTTGAAAATACACTTGGATGGTATGCATTAAAAGTTCTGCTCAAGATGCATTGACATTTTATAAATGGTGGGACACTCGTATGCTTAAAACAAACTGTATAAACTCAAAATGCATTAACGTGTCTCTTAATGTCATATTAGACTGCAATTTGCCTTTGAAAAACACTGCTTTGTCTCTCGAAATGTGCTGCCAATAGCCTATTATTATTATTATTATTATTATTATTATTATTATTATTATTATTATTATTATTATTATTATTTGATAAAAGTGATAAAAGTACAAATCTTAAATTTCCCCCAAAACAGACTGTACCATTTAGACATGTGGGTTTCATGTGGACTGACCCAATGTGTCTGGTTATGTTTACTGAATTATTAATACAAAATATTTTCTAATCGTTTACATCAAATCAATGGTCATCGTCTCCCCTACAGGCAGCGGGCAGATTCAGCTGTGGCAGTTCCTGCTGGAGCTCCTCTCTGACAGCGCCAACATGTCGTGCATCGGCTGGGAGGGCACCAACGGCGAGTTCAAGCTCATCGACCCGGACGAAGTGGCTCGGCGCTGGGGGGAGCGCAAAAGCAAACCCAACATGAACTACGATAAGCTGAGCCGGGCGCTGCGCTACTATTACGACAAAAACATCATGACCAAAGTCCACGGCAAGCGGTATGCCTACAAGTTTGATTTCCACGGCTTGGCGCAGGTGTGCCAGCCGTCCACCACAGAGCAGGCCATCTACAAGTTTCAGGGTAACTTCTCCCCGATTCCCTTCGCCGGGATTTCCAAACTGAACCTCGTGGCTCCAGGGATGGGGCCGCCGGGTTTCTCCTACTGGCCCGGCTCCCCTCCGGCGGCACTGTATCACACCCACAACCTCCAGCCGCCAGGGCCCTTTGGCACCGTGTCTCCGTCCCACATCAGCTGTGTCAACAACATCAGCAGCCTGACTAGCATCAATAACCATTACAACTGACTAATTCATCTTTTAGGCAAACAAATAGCCTAAAAACACCGCAACACAGCAACGAACGAAGAGGGGTGACAGAGGCAAATAGTGGATTTATTTGGTTAGGAATAAAAAAAATGTAGACATAGACACGTAACGATAGCTTAAACAGCATACATTTAAACATGTAATTGCGGAGCTGCTGCTACTGAGACGACAGTTGCATGTAAGCAAGACGTCTAAAGACTTGTACGTAAACAATCTAAATAGGATTTAGCCCCTTTAACCTTTAAACCAAGATATTCTTTCACGAGCGAATTACTGAATCCATCAAGGACCGCGTATCAAATTACGCACAGTTGAACCTTTACGCGCGGTATTTTAATACATATGGCATTTCCTAGAAAATACGAAAGGGAGCATGTGGGAGAGCGGTTTTTCGAAAGGAACAATGTAGAAAATTATTCTAAAAATAAGACAATTAAATACAGACTCTTCTTTTTTATACCTATCAGTTTTCATCCCTTTTGTTCCTTTGCTGCCTCTCATCCTCCTTCCTTGATTGCTGTGGTTGTTTTTACATACAGGTGGGTGTATCTGCTGCAATTTAAGAGCAAATCACCAGCTATTTTTGGACTATTGGCGCCATCTCGTGGTTGTAGAATGGCCTAATGCCAGTTGGACGTTGTGATTATTTTCTTTTACTAAGTATTACCACTTGAAAACACTCACCTGAAATATATTGTCAGTGTAATCACAGTTTGCTTGGAAATCATATTACGCATATGCCCTTATAAGAAAATGAAACTTGCAATAACAATAAAACCAGTACAGAGGCACAAGGGTGTCATTTGTGTGAAAAAGACTCTTGAGATAAATAGTGAGAGAAACTGTGAATTGATTAACTCTGTAAATATTGTACGCTGGTGTAGAGCCAGGCTCAGGCTCTTGCTGCTTTTTAGTGATTTTGAATTGAATTACATTCACTCACACAGCTTACTTACTGTAGCCAAAACAACTGAACTAATACAAAACTAATGAAGGAAATAATAACAGACTGTTTTAGATAAGTCTCTTTCTCAGTATGTGTTTTAATCATATTGATTGACATTGCCACCAGTGTGTGCCACAGTACCATCCGTGCTCACACTACTAAAAAAAACAAAAAACGTGCTGTGTTCTTGCTTTCTCAAGTGTTTTCACAAAATGTGTATTTTTAAATGTGTTTGTCTTCATACTCATTTGAATGGTAATAAATAAACTGATGATGATTATGATGAAAAGTGGTTACAAGATTATAATTGGTAGACAGTTGAAGCAAGCAGTTGATTTGTCAGAGTCAGCCACAATAACAATCTTGCTCTAACAAAACAACAACATATATAGTCAGCTGTAAATGTGTATCTGGCCTACATAGTTTTAGTGACTCATCTTGTTTGCCCATTTGAAAAAAAAGCCAATTATCCACCTAATATTTTATACTTTTAAACTGAACGGTCTACTGACACACACCAAGCAGAAGTGGCTTCATTTTGATGAAAAGAAGACATATTCATATTTTCTAATCGGCATTGCTGAAGAAAAAAATAGGCTGAAACTGGGAATAGTTCATTTGGCAGGAAAAATACAAATCAGCTGTAATATTCTGTATGAAAATTAAATAAAATCCAAACAATTCCCATTCATTGCTCCTAGTGTATTCTGGAATGTCAGCATTATTAAGTACAAATAACGTTGTTTCACTTCTAAATGCCTGTAGCAACACGTCATCAATAAGACGGACAACAGAAAATAAAAAATAAACAACTTCTCATTTGCTGGGAATTTTGTTAGTGGTCAATACTTCTTATTGTGTAAGATAAACTTGACTTTTTGCTGCTGTTGCTGCTGATGATATAGCATTGAGTGTAACAAATGAGACAGTCGATGTCGTTGGCCACACAGGGGCGCCATAACTCTTCCAACGTCAGAGCACTGATTACACAACTAGGTGATAACAGACTTGGTCTCATATCATGGAAGCAACTGCAAATACCAGATTAACCACCAACCGCACAGTGCAGGTCTACAAAGATTAAAGTATGTCTGTTCAAACAATTGAATGGACATGCAAGTTTTATGGCCATTATATATAAAGACAAAAATAGTGCCTCTACCTATAATAGGTGTATATTTACAAAAGAGAGTCTTCACCGGAGAGCAGTCGCATACTCTGGCTGACTAAGGGGCAGTTGAGAAAGAAATAAAAAGGGCACCTGCTTCATGTGGTGAGGCACCAGCACAAAGGCATTTTCTAGAATGTAAGGCAGCCGAGAGAGCACTGCATCACGTTTTCTCCACTGGAAGGGCCCTCCAGAGCAATTGCATCATATCTTCTCCACTGGAAGGGCACCCTATAGGGCCTGCATCACGTTTTCTCTGCTGGAAGGATTCAGAGAAAGAGATGGGGGGAGTGCCCTGATCATGTTTTCTACATTTAAAGGGAACCAATTAGTGCCCTAAATCAAGTTGTATCCACTAAAGGGGCAGCCATTTGTGCACTGCATCAAATTTTCTCCATTGGAATTAAACCCTTGAGGGCCTTGCATCACATTTTCTCCACTGAAAGGTCACACATTGGGGAACTGCATTACATTTTCATCACTGGATCAGTTTACTTCACTGGAAAGACCCCCTAGAGGGCCCTGCATGGCGTTTTCTCCAGCAGTAGGGCAGCCTAGAGATCTTAACACTTTAGGGTTCTTAAATAAAAATACTATGCATTTTGTCCTATTTTCATGTAGTGCTTGACTAAAATTATAGAATGATGTACGAACACATTATCAGTCTGCAAAAGTTCAGCAGGTGCATCATTTAGTTAAACCAGGTGTTCCCAGATCGTACAATATGTTTTCAAACCAACTTTGTGTAAGGAATTCAGTGGGAGTGGAAGTATATTTCCCCATTATAGATTTCACTTTGAAGGGTTTCTTCTCACGTGGAATGAGAATTGGTCGGTCAGTTTTAATTGAGAAACAGAAACAGAAACGTTTTCTGTGTGTCTGTGTGCATAAGTGTGTGTGTGTGTGTGTGTTTGTGAAAGAAAGAGGGAGTGGGTCACTCATTCACAACAACAGCATTTGTGTATGTGTCCTGCATATCAACAGGAAAGACTTGGGGTTGCTATTGACAACTGAATATCTCTCTCTCTCTCTTACTGTGTGTGTGTGCGTTTGTGTGTGTGTGTGAGAGAGAGAGAGAGAGAATACACACATAGACAGCAACATGGGTAAAGTCGGAAGAAGAGACTACAAGTGGTCTGCAAGGACTTGGGCAATAGAAAGAGAGAAATGCAGGTGTGTATCCCGGACATGTTGTTCACCCCACAGGGATTGAGTCACTTCCACTATACATTGTAATTGTCCCTGTCTTCTCTGCCAACTCCCCTGTCACTAATCTGCTGTGTTTGTTGTTGCTGCTCAGCACTCATCCTCTCTCTTCTTGAGTAACAAACTAGGTGGGTGTTTTTTGCTGCAAGCCACAGGATTAACAGTGTGAATGTAGAGGACTGAGGAGCGGGAAGAAAACATGAGGAGGATGAAAGGGAGAGAAGAGGAGAGTACCTTTGTAAAAACGTTACGTAGTAGCAGTTATGTTAAAAGGAAACATATGTGCAGATATAGTTAAAGAAGCAGATAAATGGTATTTGTGACTCAAATCAGACATTAGGTCTGAGTCTTGGACAATTGGACATTATCCTTGTTCAGATATATTCATGACACAGTCTGTCTGTGGGCAGACAGCTTCAAAGCTGTCCTCAGGACTTAAGGTTGTCACTGACTCATAGAAACAACTTTAAGGACCACACATATTCCAATATTCTACAAAACAAATAAGCTTTACATCACAGGTCACTTTCCAAAGCATGCCATGGCAATGCTGCTCACAGCTAACATTGCTAACACTGCTAACAACAGGAGAAGTGGTGGCAAAGCTGACAGTGCTAACACTGCTGACATTGCTAACAGTGCTAACAACAGGAGAAGTGGTGGCAAAGCTGACAGTGTTTACCTGAAGGGGAACCGGAGAGTAGATGCCACACTTCACTCTAAATCTTGACAGGTATACATGGGGCACATATTTAGGGAAAGAAGTCAGGTCTCTGCCGTACTGCAGTGCATTATTAGGAGACAGGGTAAGGCAGTCAGTGGGCTTTGTGTGGCGATGTGAAGTGTTGCAGTCAGTGAGTCATTCTCCCATCTGGAGAGAGCGGTAATGAAGGCTCTGCTAAATTAGAACAGCACACCTACTTGGTGTTGAAATAGACTTGTGAATAAGAGAGAGAGAGAGAGAGAGAGAGAGAGAGAGAGAGAGAGAGAGAGAGGGTAAAGGTGAGAGACTCAAAGAGGCAGGGAACAGAGAGATAGTAAAAAAGGTAAAAAAGAACGATGTAGACCGATGTCTTTTGCCCTTGTTGCAGACACCCACTCATCTGAATATAGACCCAGATTCTGTGAGCGAAAAACTACAAGGTAATAATCAAAACATAGTTTCCCTATAAAGACAGTTTTTTTTAGGGTTTTTTGTGCATTTTTTAGTATTGGATCATCATTGGTTGGATCTTCATTGATCCTAATCTTGTAAAGGATTTAAGAGTTTAAGTTTGTTGGTGTCTTGCATCCTTGTGAAAGTAATGTAAATAAAAGTCAGCACGTGAAATTATGACACCATTGTGACAGTGAGTGAGTGTTAAGATGACACTGGGCATCATACAACTTAAGCTTTTCTTGAGCTGTTCAGTTTTACAAGACTGTAAATCCAGCTATTCCCATTTGCGAGTTAAACCCTTATCTCATAGGCTACAGACTATGAAAGCAGTATTCTTGGTGAAAAATTATTTATATTATATAAGTGTCTCAAATGCGGCAAATGTGAAAACTGGAGGACAGGAAAAGGGAAAAGTTTGCTTTTGAAATATGAATTTGGATAATGGTCTGGGATTGGAGCACCTCTATACTTTAGATTTTAGCTGTTGCATAAAACTAAATGGATGAATAATCATGCAGATTCATGTGGTGCGAAGTGATTCACTAGCAAATTATGATGAGAAAAATAACAATGAACACTGTGTAGGTGTGGGATAAATGATGGAATCAGTGTACTGTCCTTATATATTGTATAACAACTTAAATATAAAAAGTGTCATAAACACAACAGTATAGATTTATATAAGATATACAGTATGTGGCATGACAGTATATGACTCATACCACCGGTCAATAAACTGAACTGTGAAGGGAATTACGATTCTTTGGTTTTGCCAACTGAGCCTGACTTCACCAAGCTATGTAAAGTGAAAAGCGGTTGCCTCTCACTGGAGTAATCTAGTTAAAGAGATTAGCAGCAGGGTGGTTATGTAACAAGAGGACAGCAGAATAGACATAATCCCTATAGGGTGCTACATCAGTCTGTCTAGAGTTGGTCTTTTTTCCACTTGGGTGAAGCTGACCAATATAAGGTTAGAAGGAATCCCTTTCCAAGAAACAGTAAAGTAAACTTTGGATTGTACACATACTGGTTTTAATTTAGTTATAAAACAATAAAAACTTCCATTGTCCTTGCCAATACGTCAATGTCAAAATATTCCATTACAAGCCAACATTCTGCCATCACAATTGTACAAAAGTAAGTAAAAGTACTTTAGCGCTGCTCTATATGAAAAGTAAAGCACAAGTACCACAAACCTGTACTTACTGTAGGGTTTGGCGGCACCTAGCGGTGAGTTTGCAGATTGCAACCAACTGAAACTTCTCCCACGTGCCAAGTGTGTAGGTGGCCGACACAAAAACACGAATGGCCCTATGAGCCAGTGTTTGGTTTGTCCATGCTGGTCTTCTGTAGAAACATGGCCAATCCGTAGAAATATATACGACTCATTCTAAGGTAACGGAAACTTAATGATTTTAATTCTCAGGTAATTGCACACTAATGAAAACATATTTATTAAAATGATATTCCATTTATGTCAATGAACCCCCCTAAAGGCTATACACTATACCTTTAAGCACAGCATTTGAGTATTTGTACTTATATGCCCTCCACCACTGATTATGATGTTTAAATGGAAGTGCGAGTGTGACGTCGGTAATGCAGGAGATGAACTGTGGTGATGCTCTTCTCTTTCATTACTGATGAGAAGATAAAGAGGACAAATCCAGAAGAGTGGGAAACAGAGCAGCACCAAGGCAGAGGTGACTCAGGACAGAGTGACTGGATGTGGAGGAGTCAGAGACACGGCTCCGCCGACAGACGCTCACAAGCACTGTGTGGATGTCTTCTATTGATAACCACAGTGGGTATGTGCTGTGCAGTGGTTCAGCCCACTCACAGGCCCACACAGCTCATTTTGTCCAGCTCTCATTCACTTACCTACCCGTTACTATAGAGACACAGTGGAGAAGAATGCAAAAGGCAGGCTGGCAGACAGATATGCAAGAGACCTGGGCTGAATCTTAATAATAAAGAGAAGGCTCACAACATTGCCCTGGGAGGCTGTTACATAACGCTACTGCAGGATTCTGCCAGGAACCTGTAAATACTTGTGGAAAAGAGAAAACAAAGCAACACTATTGCAAGAGCACTTTTTTTGACCATCACGATGTGTTGTTTTCCACCGATTCCCTCAACTGTTTGACCTCACAGATCATCTAGGGGAATGTTTTACTCTTTAGTTTCCATGTAGTTGAAACTGATGTCATGCAACAATGGTGTTTAAAAAAAACACATGGCAGTGATTAAAGTATTATAAGTCAACATACTGGACCACAGTATGAGTAGCAACACATTTTAAAAATGAATTAACATACAATTTGCAGATGAAATAGATTACTTAACAACACTTACTGTGGCTATGGCTTTCAACTCTGCAACTGTCATTTTGAGTAGTTTTGATGTTACAATGTGGCTCTCTGTCTGACATTAGATGGAAATAAATGAATGAAATATAAATGTCTTTTTCTCTTTCCTCTCTATCCATCTTTGTGTTTTTATTTACCTTCATCTATGTTCCACTTTCTTTCCCCTCTCTCCACCTCTCAATATTTTCCTCCTGTTCCATTTCTGTCATGATTTTCTGGGTTATTTCCTGACTGCTTTTCTCCACTTTTGCTCTGTAAATAGATACTGTATGTCCCCATAAGACTGACACAGATAGATAGAGAGAGAGAGAGAGAGAGAGAGAGAGAGTCACACACACGGTTCTGAGACTGCAGCAGATTCTAACCAATCACATGAAAGAACCCTCTAACCCACGTGGCTTATTCATAAAAAAACAGGAAAAAAAACCTTATCAATTCAGCTCCATTCTCTCACACAGCACATCATCGATGTATCCGTGCTCTAAACTAAGGAAGCTTCTGAAATGTAATAATATGTTACATGTTTAATGAAATCCTTCCTCAATTTTGCACATTCCTTAAAAAATTCTTATTGATAATGCATCATAGTGTGATACCAGTTTTTATTGATGCATGCAGATTCCTCCAAATACATTTTTACAATTGACTTTCTCACTGTTGGTTTCCTGTGTTCCCATTTCAGTGTGTGGCCCCGTTTACAATACCCAGGACAGACTGACAGGATACCAAAAATATCCTTCATGTGTCAGCTTACTTCCCTGTGTGCCAATCGGGCAATGCATTCTGGGATAAAATGAAGCTGTTCTGCCATTTGCTTGTACACCCATATACCTGTATGGGTATAAAACATCCAAAAAATTGTATCTTTGTGTCAGTATATCTAAAAAAAAAACAACTTTTCAATATGCAAATACCTCTATCTTTTGAGTTTTTGTTTCATGGCAACCACTGAACTCTCATGAGCTTCAGTCCCATGACAACCTATAGTATCATCCCAGTAAGCATATTCATCATGGACTTATTTCTGTTGCATAACCATGTCTCAAGGGTTCCCTGCAAATCAACGGATTAGTGGGAGGAGTGACTGGATAATAGGATGTCCGAGTTAATTATTACTTCAGCAAACTGCAAGATTTGTGCAAACATAGGCCATAAGTAGTGCGCTCACATGTTGCAGCGAGATACAGTATATACGTTAGTGCACACACACATACACATTAGGATGAAGTTTTAAATCAACAAAACAATGAGCGAGAGAGACAACAGATCCTACAGAAGTATGGATTTATTTCATCATTGTCACCATAAACAATTACTGTATTGACCTTGTATTAACATGTAGAGAGAGTGACTGCAACTGTGGTGCAACCACAGGCAACAAGCACATCTAAATATCACTTTCCATAGCTGACACATAGGAAAAAAAAGACCGTACAAAAGATCTAATTCACAGATAATCTTCGTAGAGCGAAACTTGGTGACATTAACTGCAAAATTAATTGAAAACACTTCAGTGCTTGACAGGAAACACTGGTACACGACCATTATGTTATACCACTGTGCAAAACATCAAATGTTTGTCCAAAGCTGTGCAAAATAGCAGCATTATATTCCACTTTCCAAGCAATGGACTCACAACACAACATAACAATGATCACTTAGAAGCATAATACTGAATAATTACTGTCACGGTTGCCCTATAAGCTTGGTTTCAGAGTGTCAGAGTCAAATCACGTTTAGCTTACAGAAACTTGCAATAATGTGTGCAAATGATAGTCACTTCATAATGAGGCCTTCACATTCAATATTTACATCATGAGGAAACATCCTCCCTGAATTGACTGTGCTGAATGTGAATTGAACCCAGCAAACTGAGGCTCACAACACATTTACAGAGCAGGGCAGAAATACCATTTGAGCATTACGCTGTTTGTTTTTTGTTGTTGTTACGCTTGAACTACATCATATACAGCCACCTTCAAAAACAGGCAGATACAAATTAAATACAGAGCACATCTAAAATATGGGATATGTACATGTAAACCACAAAGTTTCAGGCTAAGAGTATTTGATAGTTGGCACATGTGAGATTTTAAAACAATCTCTTGAAAAACTGTACATTCCATTCAGTCTGTAGTTACGTTGGCCTCTGCAATGTATCGGAAAACAATACACAACAGGGGCCGTACGGCGATAATCTTGCTGTACGGCCATATATGAGCCCATTTTGTGCAGTTTATCACATCCCAGGTGGGAGATACATTTCTGCCCCCTACCCTCATGATCAACTTGAACCAACGGCCAATTGAGCGGTACGTCTATATTGTTTCTCGTCGAAAACAAGCTATTTCAATTCAGTACGAGGTGGTTTATATGAAGAAATTGGTGGTTTTGATCACAGCAGCTGAAAACTGTTACATTCTAAATAGGTATGAAGATACACATCATGAGGCTTTTTTAGCAGTAAATCCTCTGTTACCCGTAGAGGAATATCTACTAGCATGTTTTGTCCCCTTAAAGTAACATGATCATCTGCTGCAACAGCTTACCTATCAGCTGGTAGAGAATCTAAAAAAGCACAATACGCTGTTTATACCTGTACTTACAAAGCTTAGGCTTATGTGCTGAAAGTGTATTGGGCTCACTCTGGTCCTCTTAGAAGCCACCCTTGGCTCTGTTGCGGCGAGGTGACTCATAATAGCGAGGGAGCGGAGGATAAACGGCCGCACAGGTCAGCACCTCGGACAGCTCCGCCTCTCGACGTCTCTCTCACACACATACACACACATACGCACACATACACACACATACGCACACACATCTATTCTGGTCCTGCCAAGAAGCTCACCTCACTGCGACATCCACTCGCCCAGAAAGTAGGCTTATCATGAACGAAAAGGGGAGTTGAGTGTCACGTGGGATGTGATCTGTACCACGAAGTCAATCCGTGCGTCACTCAAACGGGACAAGACAAAAGATGACAATATTACCATTGGCATGCATGTATGAGGTCTCCTGTAGCCAAAACACCACACTGAGGTTGTGTAACATCATTAGAGAGAGATATTCAGCCCACACGTGAGGACTCTTCAACGTTGGCCTTTTACATTCAAAACCACCGCTGTGTGATTTTGCAAAAACATTCACCTTTTAAAAAAAAAACCCACCGGTCTTGTTTGGTTTTGTCAGCGGTCCAGGTTCGCCTCGCTCGTATCTCGTTGGTTTTTGAGGTCCTGGAAGACCTCGGTGAAAAAGTGCGGGTCCGCATTCAGCTGCAGCATTTTGGCACTCAGCCTGTTGATGATCCGGAGCGACATCTCCCAGAAAACGTCCTTGTTCGACTCGATCATGAACGGCTTGAGCGGGTAGGAGATCTCGTTGCCCATGTAGGAGTAGGCGAGGTAAAGGCAAGTCTGAAAGGTGCCCTGCAGCTCCGCCGGGCTGTCGATGCTGTCCGTTATCATGTCTTCGCACAGCAGGTACACGAACACCACGTTGGCCGGCGTGATGAAGCCTTGGTCCTGCCAGCCCTGGAGCAAAAGAGTCCGGTCGATGTTGCGGAACCAGAGGATCACCTCTCCGCTGTTCAGCTCTTTCAGTTTAAAACACCTGCGGCACATGAAGTCCCCCAAACAGCGAAGCAGCTCCCCGGTTGAAGCCTGGATAACTATCCGCCTCGGTGACACCACAGACAGGCTGCTGGGCAGCTGCTGGACCGTGGAAAGCCTCCTGTTTTGGACGACGGCGTCGTTGTTTTGCGTGGGGACCGTGGGCACCGGGACCGGGATCGGCGCTTTGGGTTTCTTCTCCTCGGTTTGGTGCGTCTTCCTGATGTTTTCACTGTTGCGCTGAGCCACCTGTCCGGACGGGAGCTCGCGCGCGGGCATGGGGTTCGGGGTCACTTTCTTGGCACTCTTCTTGGCCGAATTGGACACCAGCTTCTTCCAGGAGAGAGAGACGAACATCGAGTGCCGTTTGAGGCTCTTGTCGTTTTTGGCGAGCTCCGCGTCCATAATAGACGCCTTCTTCTCCGTCGGGGAGATGGAGAGGACGGTACCCATGACTGCAGAGGAGAGTGCCTCGGTGGTGTTTGGATGCTGCAACTTCAACGCAGTCTTCTGCGGGGTGAGAGGCGGTGAAGAACAGTCACGACAACGATTGAAACTCCATTTACACGTTTAGTTGCTCCGTGTTTTGGCTCCTGGGCGGCGGGGGGTCGAGGACGGCGCGGGGTTTTCAGAGTGAACTTGTATTCCAACAGATGCTCTGTCAGCGCCTCAGCAGGGGCACGCTGCGACACAATGTTACGGCTGGTGCATAGGAAACAGATTAGTCGCCCTGCGTTAAGTCCTGGGTTTGAACGAACCAGCAAGTGCAGCCCGGACTGACAGCCAAGCCAGCCAATAAGAAAGCCAATAAGTGATCCAATCACTAGGGCTGTTCTTCTTTCTTTCAGTTCTAGTGCTGTTTGATAGCCTACAGGTATAAGACGTACTATTCTGGTTCCTGTGCGCTTCTTCTCCACTAGTCCATTTGGAGTGCTATTTATAACTAGTTTTCCTTTAATCTTTTCAGCAGCCATGAATAATAGGTCCAAACACTGACCAACATAATTAATAATTTGGTGTATAGGCCTATCTACTTACATTTGTATCCCATTATCATCCTTAAATTGGTATATAACATTTATTTCATTAATTAATTCATGGTTAATATATCCATCTGCGAAGTGTATCCACACTGGTCAGTCTGCTCTCTGTTAAGAGATATTAAGAAGTCACAGTTATGTTAAAAACAGAGTCATCCTGGTGGCCCAGGGGCCAAAAGTGTCAGGCGGTCCTCCTGGCCATCATCGACAAAATGTCACTCAAAGAGACACATACCTACCAGGACGAAACTTACATTTACAGAAACATAAAATGACTACAAAGAGAAGCGCAGCAACGACAATGTGCCACAAAATGACCACGAAGAGAAACAAAATAACACAAAGAGACACAAAACAACGGCAAAGACACATAAAACCACACACAAAAAAAGACAAAAATGACATCAAAGACACACAAAACATCCAAAACAGGACACTAAATGACTTCAAAGAGATCCAAAACAATCAAAAAAGACACATAATGACCACAAAGACTCACAAAATGACAAATAAATGCATAACGACTACAAAAAGACAGAAAACAACAACAAAAAGAGGTTAAACCTTTTGCATGTCAATGCCCAGGAGCCCATTGTCTAATGATCTGCCCAGGCTGACATTCACATTGATCATGCATCCAAATCAAACACAAAAGCAGAGAAGTGCTGCAGAGAGACACTACTTGGAACTTTAAACAGTATTCAGGTTTAATGTCATCTTTTACCTCCTGGTATCACTGACTAACATGGCAGCACTTGATCAAAATAAATTGCTCCACCATTGGGTTTGTGTAAATACTATAGTGATGATTTGTCTCTAAAAAGCATTGATGCACAATCTATAATTATAAATTTAAAGGCATCCTTAACCATGACATCACCCTGTAAACAAATCTGGAAATTGTGTCAAACAAGGGTAACTAAACTGGTTTTAACATATTTGTAACCACAAAAACACTCTTCCCCCAAACATTCACACAAGAATGTTCCCTGAAGAGTTGTTGGAAAATAAATCTATACAAAGTGTTTTTGCCAGCTCTGGCCGCACTAAACTTACAATTTGAACTATGCTGTGTTTGATGCCAGGCATGAGGTCATTTTCAAATAGAAACATCACCTGCATTACATTCACTTGTTGTAGAGGCGCCGAAGGGCAAAAAAATGTGTGTGTGAGACAAATTAAATAACAGAAGACATAATTCATTCTCTGCTCCGTGAGCATCAAAACTTGCACATGGAGTGTCAGATCAGTTCTTACTGTCTGATCTCATACCTAAATATCCCTTTGGCCACTACTTGTCTTTCAAAGATTTCATTACTATTGTGATTGAAAAGACATCCAATCATTTTGGTCTGCCATGGAATCACTACAGGTTGGCTGTATAGTGATTCCGTAAACCAGTTTTAATCCTGCACTCAGCTACTGCATCATCGCATGTATGTCTCAAGAAATGCCACAGGTGATCCAATTACCTTCAGCAGAACTGGCACCCCTCCACCAAGTTACATGACATGCCTGATCTTTCCCTTCAGCTTGTAGAAACAGATACAAATAGCATTTAAGGTCTTGGACTGGAGTCTTCAGAACGGGCGTTGCCATTTCGCTGGATTGTACGGATAAATATCCATAAATACCTTTCTGATGTAATTATGACCTGTCCCACATTTCAATTTCTTGAAATCCTGACAAATATTTATTTTAAATTTTCCTTCACATTTTGAGATATCCTACTTTATTGGTCCATTTATTCAACAAATTACACCCTGAGTGGTTTTACGGGATGCATCTTTTTTTAGGTATATGGAAAGACATATATTAAGACTATTTTCCCAATCCCATGGGTATTTGTGCAGTTTGACGAACCTTCAGTTTGGTCAATCCCAGTATGAATGATTTCAGCAGCTAACATACAGGCAATGTGAAATCAAATCTGCATCAATCAATCTACAAGGTATTGTTAAAAGGTGAACATGGATCCAGTAATCTATCCTAATCTTGTTGATATTTATTGATAAAAACAGACCAACCATTCAACATACACATATTGTCAAGTGCAAAATATCAACACAGTGTCACTGCAGCTCGTGGAATCGTCACAAAATTTGAATCTATTGGTTTGTGTACATGGACACAAATTTAAAAAAATTACCGTGTCACTCAGCATGACTTTCAAACTATTGTATTTCAATTGTTAGTGTCTTTCGTGCCTGCACCACATTTTTTTCCCCATCTGTCGCGCCAACACTAACAAAACAAACGTTAGGGGTAGGCTTCAAAACCACTTAGATAGGTTTAGAAAACACAAACGTGTCACCTCACAACAACACTTTGATCATCATCAAACTCAGCTCAGCTCAGCAGGTAGTGCAGCGTTGTCCTTCAATCAGAGGATCGGCGGTTCGATCCCCTCCTCCACTAGTCCATGTTGATGTGTCCTTGGGCAAGAAACTTAACCCCAAATTGCTCCCTGAATGGGAATGAATGTTATTTAGAGTCCTGATGGGCACGTGATACCTTGCATGGTAACCTCTGCCATCAATGTATGAATGAATGTGAATGATGACATATAGTGTTAAAGCGCTTTGAGTGGTCGGAAGACTATAAAAGTAAAAGTCTATTTACCCTCATCATCATCACTGTTACTTCAACGTACACCGTGAGCAAAATCGAATTGTCATCAACACCATTTTTGTATTATCATATTGATGATCAAACTCAATATGATAGTACAGGCCTGGCAGGGAACCGGTTGGAAAGACCCGGCAAGCCCAAATGTGTAGTGAGGGTGAACTGGGAACGTCTGGCGGAGGACTCTGTCTGGGAGGTCTTTAACTCCCACCTCCGGAAGAACTTCTCTCACATCCCGAGGGAGGTTGGGGACATGGAATCCGAATGGACCATGTTCAAAGCCTCTATTGTCGACGCGGCCGCTAGGAGCTGTGGCCGGAAGGTCATCGGTGCCTGTCGTGGCCGCAACCCGAGAACCCGGTGGTGGACACCAGAGGTGAGGGTAGCCGTCAAGCTGAAGAAGGAGACCTTCAAGGCCTGGTTGGCCCAGGGGTCTCCCGAAGCAGCTGACAGGTACCGGCAGGCCAGAAGGGCTGCAGCTGCGGTGGCCGCGAATGCTAAAACTCGGGCATGGGAGGAGTTCGGGGAGGCCATGGAGAAGGACTTTCGGTTGGCCTCAAGGAGGTTCTGGCAAACCGAAGGGAAAGCAGGGCTTACCCCAGGCTGTTCTCAGCAGGGGGGGGGAACTGCTGACCCGGACAGGGGACATCGTCGGGCGGTGGAAAGAGCACTTTGAGGAACTCCTAAACCCGACCAACATGTCCTCTGCAGAGGAGGCAGCACCTGAAGATCTAGGGGGAGGCTCACCCATATCCCTGGCAGAGGCCGCTGAGGTAGTCAAAAAGCTCCTTGGTGGCAAGGCGCCGGGGGTGGATGAGATCCGCCCTGAGATGCTGAAAGCGCTGGACATAGTTGGGCTGTCCTGGCTGACACGCCTCTTCAATGTCGCATGGGGGTCGGGATCAGTGCCCATGGACTGGCAGACCGGGGTGGTGGTTCCCATTTTCAAAAAGGGGGACCGGAGAGTGTGCTAGAATTACCGGGGTATCACACTACTCAGCCTCCCGGGGAAGGCTTATGCCAGCATGCTGGAAAGGAGGCTCCGACCGTTTGTCGAACCTCAGATACAAGAGGAGCAATGCGGATTCCGTCCCGCCCGTGGAACAGTGGACCAGCTCTTTACCCTCGCAAGACTACTGGAGGGGTTCTGGGAGTTTGCCCAACCAGTCTACATGTGCTTTGTGGACTTGGAGAAGGCTTTCGACCGGGTCCCTTGGGAGTTCTTGTGGGGGGTGCTGCGGGAGTATGGGGTGCCGGACACATTACAACGGGCGATCCGGTCTCTGTACGACTGCAGTAGGAGCTGTGTCCGCATTCTCGGCAATAAGTTAGACACGTTCCCGGTGGGTGTTGGCCTCCGCCAGGGCTGCCCTTTGTCTCCGGTCCTGTTCGTGATTTTCATGGACAGGATATCTAGGCGCAGCCTGGGGGTGGAGAACGTCAGGTTCGGGGGTCTCGGGATCGCCTCTCTGCTGTTTGCAGATGATGTGGTCCTGTTAGCCTCCTCGGATCGTGACCTCCAGCATTCACTGGGGCGGTTTGCAGCCGAGTGTGAAGCGGCGGGGATGAGAGTTAGCACCTCCAAATCTGAGGCTATGGCGCTCTGCCGGAAACCGGTGGATTGCTCCCTCCAGGTGGGGACGGAGTGCCTACCTCAAGCGAAGGAGTTCAAGTATCTCGGGGTCTTGTTCACGAGTGAGGGTAAGATGGAGCAGGAGATCGACAGACGGATCGGTGCGGCTGCAGCAGTAAAGCAGGCGCTGCACCGGACCGTCTTGGTGAAGAGGGAGCTGAGCCGGAAGGCAAAGCTCTCAATTTACCACTCGGTCTACGTTCCTACCCTCACCTATGTTCACGAACTCTGGGTCGTGACCGAAAGGACAAGGTCGCGGTTACAAGCGGCCGAAATGAGCTTCCTCCGTAGGGTGGCCGGGCTCAGCCTTAGAGATAGGGTAAGGAGCTCGGTCATCAGGAGGGAGCTTGGAGTAGAGCCGCTACTCCTTCGCGTCGAAAGGAGTCAGCTGAGGTGGTTCGGGCATCTAATTAGGATGCCTCCTGGATGCCTCCCACTGGAGGTTTTCCAGGCACGTCCAACTGGGAAGAGACACCGGGGAAGACCCAGAACACGCTGGAGGGATTACATCTCCCAGCTGGCCTGGGAACGCCTCGGGATCCCCCAGAATGAGCTGGAACATGTTGCCGGTGAGAGGGAAGTCTGGGTCAGCCTGCTTGGCC